ATAAAAATTAGCAAATAAAACTCCTAAGGGGGAGCCCATTGCTACTCCGTCTATTTGTAAATACATGTCTCCTTGTGGACTGATGAAAGGGGCTTCCTTTGTACATGCTTCGAGAAGACTTTTCAAGTGTGGCTCAGGTATGTCTAATTTGGGGGTGCTCTCGTCTCTGTATGCTCTGTCCAGTATCATTCCTATGGTTGTGTCGACTGGGACGTTGGTAAAAAGGGATTCAACGTCCAGGGAAGCGATGATTCCATCGGGCTGGGTAGATTTGATCAATTCTAGGAAATCTGCTGATGATTGTAGACTAAACTTACTTGGAGTGTATGGAGTTAGGAGTTCATTGAGTTTCTTTGCCAGGTGATAAGTTGGGGTTGGTATTTGGCTGATTATAGGGCGTAGTGGGTTACCTGGTTTATGCGTCTTACCATTGCCGTAGGCATATCCTAAGCCATAGTCGCCTTGAAGTTTATTGAAATGCACACTACCTTTCTTTGCGTTGATTGCTGTAATTGTTTTGTTTACTTTCCGCTTAAGGTCTTCTACGGGGTTCCTCGTGATTCGTTGAAATTTGGAGTCGTCACTTAGGATGTCGCTAATTTTGTTCATGTATTCATGGGTAGGAATCAATACATATGCTGCTGTTTTGTCGGCTTTTCTTATTGTTACTTTTTCTTATTCTAATCTGAAAGACGTCCACTATCCACCAATCATTTTATTGTTTTCTAAATGTTTTAAAAACGCCATTTTATTTTTTTATTCGCGTGTTTTGAGAATTTATAAAATGTAAATATATAATGTTTTATTAAAACGAGAGAGAGAGAGAGAGAGAGAGAGAGAGAGAGAGAGAGAGAGAGAGAGAGAGAGAGGAGATAGATAGAAGAGAGATAGAGAAACGAGAAAAGAGAAAGGAGATTAGAGGAAAGAAGATAGAGGAGAGAATATAGAGAGAAGAGAAAAAAGAGAGAGAGAGAGAGAGAGAGAGAGAGAGAGAGAGAGAGAGAGAGAGAGAGAGAGAGAGAGAGAGAGAGAGAGAGAGAGAGAGAGAGAGAGAGAGAGAGAGAGAGAGAGAGAGAGAGAGACAGACAGACAGACAGACAGACAGACAGACAGACAGACAGACAGACAGACAGACAGACAGACAGACAGACAGACAGACAGACAGACAGACAGATAGACACAGACAGAATGGCAGAAGCGAGGAGAGGCAGAGACAGAGATAGAGACAGGCAGAAGGAAACAGAAAGACAAGGCGAGAGACAGAGAGATGGGTGAGCAGGAGACTGGACGAATGGCAGGAACCCAAACACCGCAGGAAGCTCTAGAGATCAGCCCCCAAAAAGCACAATCCCAAACCAGAAGATGTGAAAAGATTCTCAAGAAAATGAGGCAAACGAGATCACAGCATGCAAGAAAACTTGGGAACTTGGGTATACAGCTATTAACTTTAACTCGTGGGCTGCGTAATCAACTTGCATGACAAACCCACGAAAAAAAATCTGATTCATTTTCATTTCTATTATTGTTAAAAATAATATAAAATAATAGACTATCAAGGGAGCATTTTGTGTGTGATTGTCAAGTCATCTGCTTCAACTGCCAAATGCTAATACATGAATTATCATACAATATATCGTTTACGGTCAATAACTCTTTAGCACAAACGTAGAGCCACCTCCCTTTTCCACTAATCTACATATTTTCATTATTATTCACTTCTTTACTCTCCTTTCGATAGCAGAGTAAATGATATAAACTGATGTGTAGTGAAAGTAATCAATGAAACTCATTGCTGCAAAGTGCCTATTCATTCATAATCTAATCCACAACTACTACATAAAGAATTGTGAAGTTGCCATTTTTCACGTTCCACGCAAGTGAGGGGTAAAGGAATACTTTAGTTTGATTGTCCCAGGTGTTTACCTTAAAATTCTGCGATATAATTTTCATGATGTCATTTGTCCAAGATAGGCGCCTTAAATTACATAAATATCTAGAATTAAGTATATTACCTCTTAGAGTGCAAAAATGGAAGAAATGCATATAATCATTTTTATTCAGCATGACACATGGAATAAAATTACTGATTAGCAATTGCTTGATATATTTTACCATTTGTGAGTTATGAGCCATCAATGTTGTCATCATAAGTTTTCAACGTAGTTCGTGTTAACAACACGTATTTATTAAATATATATTTTTTCAAGGTAGTGATCAGCTGTGGATTTCCCTATTACAGTTGTCTTAAGTGTCATCATTCTCGAAGAGACCCAAGACAATATAGCACCGTAAGAGAGCAAATATTAGTGTAATATGAGCTTCAGCTTCTCACTTCACACGTTTTCCTGCCAGGATTTGTGACATTTCTGTATTACCATATAAATCAGCTAAGGCCCATTCCAGTTCAGTGCCACCAACAACTTTACCTATTGCTCGTACCATTTCTATTACTGTATGCATTTCTCCAGGACTGAGTACCCAATTTTTAGAAAGGTCTTTTTTTACCATTGCTAGATTATACAGTGGTTTATAAATATTATGGTGAGAAGTGACAACAGTTTTTTAATTTTAACTTACAATTGTGGTTGTTACTCGTTCCAGCTTTTTCATAAATGTAATATGTATGGCAGTACATGTTGAAATGCTGTCTGTGAGAGAATGTACACATACGCTCATTATCTGTATTGGCTTGTTCACCAGTGAATGATACACAGATTATGTAGGTACTAAAGCTGCACATTAGGGTATTTCTTCACCACATTCATCAGGATTCTCATTTTAATTTTCATCAGGTCTTTTTTCACAACATTTAGTTTAGCATTATCCATATTAAATCTTTGAGCCAATTTGAATCTAAGAGTTACTTTTACTTAAACCGTTGGCTGAATTTTTGCCACACTTAAATTTGCGGAATTGGAGATGCTGCACTGAGAGAGAGTTCAGTGGGAAACGTCGAAATGTTCCCAAGTGAACTTCATGATGGTGGGTCTAACTGTATGAGTGACTCAGGAGTGTCAATCTCAACCTCTTCCTGGTGCACAACCATCACGGAACCATGGGTGAGTGCCCATGGTGTCAGCGTCGTCGCCTCTGCTCCTCTAGACGCCTAGAGTGTTCTCTCAAGCAGCAGCACCTGAAAACGCCATCCTAGAAAAATTTCACTAAGCTTCCGTTAAAATTAAAAAATATATATTTCTCGAAGGTGCTGCAGTTCACAACCTTCCGGTGATTATTATAATGTTTTCTGGGCCGTCTAGTACATGCAAGGATGTGGAAGCACGACTCTTGAAGTTAGGAAGGTTCCAAACGAGACGACATTCATAACAGATGTCATCTTAATGTGGCCATGTATGCACAACTTAAGAAATGATAAACATTTTTCAGAATGACTTCTTATAAGTTAACTTTTCAAAAGTCCAACTGAATGTTCATTTTCTAAGTTTCATTACCGATGCTGCATCAATGAGATTTTCATCTCATTGTCTTTGGACACGTATCATCTGCTCAGATAAGACTTACATCAACTGTGGCTGCTAGAGCCACCCCAGAGTCAAAGAGTGAATGAAGCCAGTGAGTGAAGCCATTCACTCATTTTTTGGGGTTTTGCTGAAAAAATCGACAAAACTTTATAATTCTTCTTCTACAAGCTTTTTAATTTGCTTTTGAGAATTCATTTGTGTTTCGTGTATGCCATCATTCAGTGCTATGAACAAAGTTATTGATAACGGGTATGAACTCAACATCAGTTGCTCCCTCATGGCTCTTAAACATTCCACACTAAGATACGTGAGTCTTAATACATTTGCAGTATGTTTGCTCCAGCAGTGTTTGAGATATGTGATGTCGTCTGTTGCATAAACATCTCCAGGGTCTATGCAGTCACTCAGGCGCACTTTAAATGTTTTATTGTTACACAGTTGGACAGCAAACTTCAGGCTATTGTCACTTTCGCCGCTTGCTATGCAATACAGTGGTTCTCTTTTTCTCATCACAAAAGAAACTTTTATGTTGTACATTGGGTTTTAGATCATAATGTGTATGTTGCCTTTTCACTGCATTTTTACATTTAATTTTTTTAACTGCTATACACTCACATTTCTGAGCCGACTACTAATATGCACATACTCAGGATCTAACAATTCTACTCTTTTTCCGAACACAATCAATGAATTAACTAGAGGAAAGTTGGTATTGATATGTCACAAAGCTCATAATATTATAAATAAGAAGTCTGGGATATTTTTTGGCAGATGGAGGACGCTCCACATGAAACCAGCTTCGCAGGTTGGATAGTTTAGAGTTCATAGTTTAGACTCAACTTTAAGAGATTTATTTATTGCTTCAACACCTCATCGGACATTTTTAATTAAACACAAATAGAGAAAAATACAAAATTGCAATTACTAAGATAAATTCCAAGATTTAATGGCACAAAGAGACAAAGACAATAAATGTAAAATAAATTTGTGTCATCGAGATAACATGGACTATCTCCTTTTTTCTTAACCATTAGAAATATAAAAAATGTTTAAAAAGCAATTATGTTCCTTGTTTCATGTTTAATAAAATCCTTATATGCATTTTTGACAGACAACCAGGAAAGTAATTTTTTACTTTCTTAATACGTACCCTTTATTTTAGAAATTTATGTAATTTATGGATGTCATCTTGGATAACTGGCTTCATTAAAATTCGAGGAGCCACCAGAAAGGGGCAGTTCATTACATTCATTGCTGAATTTAAAAATAATTAAATATATATTATTTTGGTTTTAGATTTACTTAAATGGACATAGTGATGAACCAGTGGCTGAGATACGTGCACACTCCAAGGATTAACATGTTAACGCGCCGCAATTCATTCATGTATTTAACTCATGACATAAAAATACTACGTGTCGAGTTGTTTACATGCCCCATGCCACAACTCATTCATATCATAACATTACACAGATTACATTAAAACATTAACAATTCAAACTTGTGAAAGGTCAAACTGACCTGCAGCTCCATATAGCAGTACAAAAATTGGATGTGGGTTTTCGAGGGTTAGTCTGTTCTTCTTCCGGTCCAAGTGACTTGAAAACCCTGGATGCCGAACTTTAGTGCCAGATGTCTTAGGCGATGTTCTTCTTCCAGAGAAATATCGTCTGTAACCTCCACTAAGAGCTTGTTGGTGGTGACGCCCTCACGTTCAAGTCCTCTCAGAAGATTCTCCACACCCACACCTGCAGATAGAAGGGAACTTTGGATACCAAAAATGGCTTTTGTAATACACTTATGTAACAAAATCCTCATCAAAGTCCACACTCGGCTACACAACATACCCATGCACTAAAAAGTACACCAAATCCCATATGTCGCTATGTTTCATTCATAACAAAATCTGCATGTCACAAATCCATACATCAAAATATATCATAGTGTGATGGTAATGGTGGAATTAATAGTGTTCAGCTTACGGCAAAATGAATAACAGAAAGTATTAATGGGTGCAAAGGAAACATGTACCTCTCCTCTCTCCCTTGACCCATACTAGGGCAAGTGTCCTTAACTTCCATATCATGCAAAGTGATGAGGAAGATTAAGTGACTAGTAAACTATTTGGAAAGAAGAGCATTAATAACACAACACAAGCACAGGCTTAGGAACACTAAATCTTGCCTAATAAAATTGACTAAATTATATGACTGGGCGACAGAAATTAGACAAGGCATAGAGCGGTAAGTTACTTAATATTTTGTTAAGCAAGTTGAAGGAAAGACCCAATACATATGTAAGAATGTTAATAATTTAAAACCAAATTTCGGATGCAACCTACATCCTTCCTCAAGGTACTGTAAATATTGTTCTCAAAACGTTTTTTTCTCAAGGTGCTGTGAACATTGTTCTCAAAACATTGTATACAGCACCTTGAGAAAGGATGTAGGTTGAATCCGAAAATTTGATTTTAAAACACTAACATATTTATTGGTTCTTTCCTTCACCTTCATTCAAGCACTTCGGCATTGTAGTAAGTTTCTCCATTTTTTGAACGATCAGAGAAAATGCCTTCAGAGAAAATGCCTTCGACTAATACAAATGTTGGAGAAAAATGAAAGATATTTGAAAGCTGCTTTAGTGAAATAAAGGAGTTCCTGCGCAGCAAAATACTGATACCATAACGTTAAGTCACAAAGACGTCAATTTTTTTTTTTTGAGAGAGAGAAGTGTAGAGGTAGTAAAGGGGTATGTTGTTATGTTTACATAAAACACCACAGCATTCACAACAATACGTTCTTTCGTATTGTAGTCATAAGAAAATCACACACGTGGTCTGGTGGTAGGCATGACTGTAAACATTATATGATATCATATAAAAACTAATCTTAATAGAACCAAACAGTATGAAGTTCAAGGCCTGACGAAACCTAGTTGTGCAGTAGGGCAGGAAGGGCGAGGTAGGGGGGTAGAGAGTGGGGACATGATGATCAAACCACATACCATAATATGAAAAAATACGACGTTTCGGTCCGTATTTGACACTTATTACAATCGACTTGATAATGGTCCAAGACGGACCAAATTGCCGTCGTTTCTTCGTCTTATGACGTGTGGTTTGGTCATCATATCTTCAGCCACGTTATTGTGACTCATCGTCTGCAGAGGGAGGACATAGACACACAAACGAGATATGGAAAGAAAGATAAAAAAAGAGAAAGAAAGAAGGGAGGGAAACAGAAAAATACAAGGCCTAACTAGAGCAAGATATAGCTGAAGAACACCATCTAGCTCGCATCTTGTAACCCTATCATCATTACCTAACCTCAGAACTTTACATTTATCAGCATTAAACTGCATCTGCCAATCCTTCGACCATTTCAAAACCCAATCTAGATCAACTTGAAGTGATAGTGAGTCCTCCTCCGAATTAATTTCCCTACCGATTTTCGTATCATCGGCAAATTTGCAAATGTTGCTACTCAAACCTGAATCCAAATCATTTATACATATTATAAACAACAGAGGTCCCAGGACAGAGCCCTGAAGCACCCCACTTACAACATTTTCCCACTCTGACTTGACTCCATTTATACTAACTCTCTGTTTCCTTTGGTATAGCCATGCCCTAATCCAGCTTAATATAGCACCCCCAATACCATGAGACTATCTTTTTAATCAGTCTTTCATGTGGCACTGTATCAAAAGCTTTGCTAAAGTCAAGGTACACAACATCGCAATCCTTACCACTATCAACTGCCTCAACAATGCTAGAATAAAAAGATAACAAATTTGTTAAACATGAACGGCCATTTATAAAACCATGTTGCAACTCAATTATTAATTTATGTTTTTCAAGATGAAGACGAATTTTATTTGCTATTATAGATTCGAGTAACTTTCCCACAATAGACGTTAGGCTAATTGGTCGATAGTTAGACGCAAGTGATCTATCTCCTTTCTTAAAAACTGGTATCACATTAGCAACTTTCCAAAACTCTGGCACTCTGCCTGACTCTATTGATTTATTAAATATGGTTGACAGTGGGTCACAAAGCTCCTCTTTGCATTCTTTAAGCACCCTGGCAAACACTTCATCCGGCCCTGGGGATTTGTTTGGTTTGAGTTTTACTATTTGTTTAAGAACATCCTCCCTGGTAACTGTTAAACTCGTCAACCTGTCCTCGTCCCCGCCCACATAGACTTCTTCGGCTGAAGGCATATTGTTAAGTTCCTCTTTAGTAAATACAGATACAAAATATTTATTAAAAATACTACTCATCTCTTCATCACTATCTGTTATTTGACCTGTCTCAGTTTTTAATGGACCTATCCTTTCCCTAGTCTTAGTACGATATAACTGAAAAAACACTTTAGGATTTGTCTTTGCTTGCCCTGCTATGCGAACTTCATAGTTTCTTTTTGCTTTCCTTATCTCTTTTTTAACATTTCTAACGAGTTGTACGAATTCCTGTTCTAAAGTGACCTCCCCATTTTTAATCCTTTTGTACCAAGCTCTCTTTTTACCTATAAGGTTCTTCAAATTCTTTGTTATCCACTTTGGGTCATTGGTATTCGATCTATTCAATTTGTATGGTATACTACGTTCCTGTGCTTTGTTTAGAATATTCTTAAATAAGTTATATAATGAATCCACATCGAAATCCCCATTTACGTCACCTATCGCTGGGTTCATGTCTCCCTCCAAGACCGGCCCCCACCCCATACCCAAGACTTTCCAATCAATTTGACCCAAAAAATTTCTAAGGCTATTAAAATCAGCTTTTCGAAAATCTGGCACTTTAACAGAATTTTCTCCTACAGGTCTATTCCATTCTATGCTAAATCTGATTTCTTTATGATCACTGTTCCTTAGCTCACTCCCTATTTCGATGTCATTAATTTGTGTTTCCCTGTTAGTTAACACTAAATCTAAAATATTATTTTCCCGTGTTGGTTCCTTAATGTGTTGCGTAAGAAAGCAATCGTCAATTAATTCTAGAAAATCTTCTGCTTCACTATTCCCTGTTTTGTTCAACCAGTTTATTCCACTAAAATTAAAGTCACCCATGACGTAAATACTGTTAGATCTAGATGCCCTAGATATTTCATCCCATAGATGCTTTGCTTCCATTCTGTCTAAATTTGGTGGCCTATATATAACTCCTATTATAATATTATTTGCTTTTTCGTTTAATTCTATCCAAATAGTTTCTGTGTGTGGCTCAGTTTTGATTCCCTCTTTGAGACTACATTTCAAATTGTCCCTAACATATATGGCTACTCCCCCTTCTCGTCTAATATATCTATCTGTGTGAAATAGTTTAAATCCATTTATTTGATATTCAGCTAATAGTTCTCTATTTTCTACATTCATCCACGTTTCGGTAAGTGCAAAAATATATATTTTTTCTATGCAGACAAGAGCATTTAATTCGTTTAATTTAATTAAATATCTAGAGCATCTAGATCTAACAGTATTTATGTCATGGGTGACTTTAATTTTAGTGGAATAAACTGGGTGAACAAAACAGGGAATAGTGAAGCAGAAGATTTTCTAGAATTAATTGACGATTGCTTTCTTACGCAACACATTAAGGAACCAACGCGGGAAAACAATATTTTAGATTTAGTGTTAACTAACAGGGAAACACAAATTAATGACATCGAAATAGGGAGTGAGCTAGGGAACAGTGATAAGAAAGTTATCAGATTTAGCATAGAATGGAATAGACCTGTAGGAGAAAATTCTGTTAAAGTGCCAGATTTTCGAAAAGCTTATTTTAATAGCCTACGAAATTTTTTGGGTCAAATAGATTGGAAACTCTTGGGTATGGGGTGGGGGCCGGACTTAAAGCGAGACATGAACCCAGCGACAGGAGACGTAAAAGGGGATTTCGATGTGGATTTAATATATAACTTATTTAAGAATATTCTAAAAAAAGCACAGGAACGTAGTATACCATACAAATTGAATAGATTGGATACTAATGACCCAAAGTGGATAACAAATAATTTAAAGAACCTTATAGGTAAAAAAGAGAGCTTGGTACAAAAGGATTAAGAATGGGGAAGTCAGGTTAGAACAGGAATTCATACAACTGGTTAGAAATGTTAAAAAAGAGATTAGGAAAGCAAAAAGAAACTATGAAGTTCGCATAGCAGAGCAAGCAAAGTCAAATCCTAAAGGGTTTTTTCAGTTATATCGAACTAAGACTAGGGAAAGGATAGGTCCATTAAAATCTGAGACAGGTCAAATAACGGATAATGACAAGGAGATGAGTAGTATTTTTAACAAATATTTTATATCTGTATTTACTAAAGAAGAACTTAACAATATGCCTTCAGCCGAACAAGTCTATGTGGGTGGGGATGAGGACAGGTTGACTAGTTTAGCAATTACCAGGGAGGATGTAATTAAACAATTAGAAAAACTAAAACCAAACAAATCCCCAGGGCCGGATGAAGTGTTTGCCAGGGTGCTTAAAGAATGCAAAGAGGAGCTTTCCGAGCCACTGTCTACCATATTTAATAAATCAATAGAGTCAGGCAGAGTGCCAGAGTCATGGAAGGTAGCTAATGTGGTACCAATTTTTAAGAAAGGAGATAGATCACTTGCGTCAAACTATCGGCCAATTAGCCTAACGTCTATTGTGGGAAAGTTACTTGAATCAATAATTGCAAATACAATTCGTCTCCATCTTGAAAAACATAAATTAATAAATGAGTCGCAACATGGTTTTACAAA